TTCATCGAGTAACGTGACAATTGATATTTTTCAGTTGCGACATGAATTCGTCTATGCTATTATTCAAATCTTCATAGGTTTCTTTATCCAAATTGCAATTAGTCTGGTTTTCGTCGTTATCACAAGAGTCGCTTTCATACTGCGCAATTTCAGATTTAATTTGTTGCCACCTCAAGCGCCGTTCATGTTGCTTTTTACGGAGTTCAGTCTCAGTTCTGTCTAGCGCATTGTTCAAGACTGCTTCGATTAACAAGTTTTTACGTTTGTAAAATTTCCTTTTCGCCTTATACGACACTATCCAATTTTTCAAATCAGACAGGTTCACTTTATTTGTTTGGTTGAATCTACGTAGCTCTCGAACTACACCCATCTCGGATCAAAATGGCGGAAAGGTCGAACTGGATACAAAAAATGGCCGACGGACGTTCCTGTGTGGAACTTTTGGCGAAAAATAGCGTCTTCTATAGCTTACAGAAAAATAGCAGCTAGCAAACAGCAAAAAACGGGCCCTTTGGAATTAGAGATGACCAGGATTCCAACGGATTTGAAAAACTTACGGATGCGAACCGACTAGGAAATCGTTAGGCAATCCTCAAGAGTTTTTACGGTAACGGTAACACACCTGCTAGGAACAGCTTTTGGTTTTCCAGAATGACTTCAATCTTCTATATATTCTCTCCAGATCCCCAGGGTGCAGGGATGCAGGCTGGCCTCTGCTAACGGACACGCGTTCACCATCACACAACTAACGAAACTGATGCGTCATTAAACTTTCCCCGTGTATTTATACGGAGCGTCACTCCGAAAACTGTGAAGATCCGCGTGCGTAGGAAAGTAGATCATAACAATTTTGTACTATAATTTGTTTTACACGTGCAAGATTGACCAAAACTTTTCAAAATAGGTTTTAATTACTTGATGTGAATGAAATTTGGTTTATAGCAAAGTAAAAAATCGCTAAAATCTTAATTTGATGTTTTCCTGAATATTCGACCTGTGACGCACGAGCGCGACGTCAGTGCAAGATGTTGTTTATGGAAAAGTAGATCCAACATTATTTCTTATTTATTTTGGTCAAAGCTAAAACGTTTTTTTACAAAAAATCGTGTGATCGTCTGAAAATTTGATGTTGATTAGAATCCATGCATTTTTGTACGGAACTATTTGAGTAAGCTTCGATTCCTGTGGCAACGCACAGCGTAGGAAATGATCCATATGACCCACAATTGAAGGGGAAGCCAGATAGAGATTTGAAAACAAAAGCAATATACCTAGTACCTACACAAATTTATAAAAAACTTATAAAATAAATACAGGGAGACAATAATGGTGCAGGGAATGCACATTTGTGTATTTTTTTAGATATTGCGGAATTCCAAGTTGTTTCAGAATTGGCGCCATCTACATAAGAGTAATGAACCAGAAAGTTCGTTATAACAATAATCAAATCCAAGCGAATAACCAAAATTTCTATGCTATCTACCGCGGTTATATGGTTTAAGATGACACACGGGTTGATAACCTCTGTTACTCGAATCGCTTAAACGTGTTGGTTTTAACCTTTTGTTGCAGGTTTTTTATTTTAGAAAAGCGCGTACCTATATAATTTCTGATTATTTTTATTATCACTTAATAATCGGTGCTTTTTCGTCTACAACAGTGTATGGAAAGTTTAAAAAAGAAACCCTTCATAATATTAATGGGAGAAATGTTTTTTTTTTCAGAAAATAATTTTTAATGAAGGAACCATATGGCTTTGTAGCTACGATAACTTTCAATTCTCTAAGCTTTTGCGCATGTCAAAGAAAACATTTATTGATTTAGCTGAAATGATAAGAAAATGCCATGAAAAAAGATATTAGCAAAACCGTATACAGGTGGACATTATCCAGTGAATCTAGATGGCCATATTTTAATATTCTTGTGGTATATGGCTACACAGGATACTTCGTTATTAAGCCTAGGAACAAGCTAGCTGATTCATGACGTCACGGATTTTATAACCAAACTGATAACCACACTCGCTTGAACGGATCGGTAAATACCAATCAAAAATGGTAAATACCATTTTCATTTGGTTATTCGCTTGAATTTGATGTTATATTTCTGGTTATTATTTGAAATGTGACAAGTTAGAATTTTGGAGGGTACTGGATATTTTTGTAGTACTTCAGCTTCATTTTTGGGAAACTTGATACAGGCTGACTGACTGTTGTAGCATAAAGTAGAGCACAGTATTAGTTATACTCATTACTCTTGTTGGGGACACTTCAAATCTAGTTCCTAGGCTTAACAAAGTATCCTCTGTATAGCCACAAGAATATTAAGATATGGCCATATTGATCCACTAGATAATGTCCACCTGTATACGGTTTTGCTAATATCTTTTTTTCATCGCCTTTTCTTATCATTTCTGCTAAATCAATAAATGTTTTCTTTGACATGCGGAAAAGCTTAGAGAATTGAAAGTTATCATAGCTACAAAACCATATGGATCCTTCATTAAAAATTATTTTAAGAAAAAAAAAACATGTCTCCAATTAATATTATATGAAAGGTTTCTTTTTTAAACTTTCCATACACTGTTGTAGACGAAAAAGCACCGATTATTAAGTGATAATAAAAATAATCATAAATTATATAGGTACGCGCTTTTCTAAAATAACCTGCAACAAAACCGCGGTTAAAACCAACGCGTTCAAGCGATTCGAGTAACTGACGTCATCAACCCGTGTGTCATCTTAAACCATATTAAAAACCGCGGTACATAGCACAGAAATGTTGGTTATTCGCTTGGATTTGATTTAAAACTACTCCTGAGTTGGGTAATTACCACAATTTTGAACGGATCGGTAAATTCCAATCCAAAATGATAAATACGATTTTCATTTGGTTATTCGCTTGAATTTGATTAATCGTTACGAATCACCGATCGTATCTATCTGACAAACGATTAGATTCTAATATATTTTCACAAACGACGTACGTTCTCCTTTTGAACATATCTGTTGTATTAAGTAATAACCGTTTTCTCTTTACGTTTCTTGTTTAGACGCATACTCGTGATGAAATTGTTTATAAGTTATTGGAGTACCTACCCATTTCGTATCTAAGCGTACTAAAAACTCACTCCAAACGGGTTCTTTTCAATAAGCGGAATCTTGTCTATTTCTAGCAGCTTTTCTAGATGATTTTTATACGTAGGTTATATTCGTTGTGTTCAGAAATTGGCGAGTGACTTTGTTCTGATAAACGAGATGATTGCGTCAAACTATCGTTTGATAAATTAGTAAATAGTCATAGAAACAACGTCTTTTGTTTTTAACAAAAGCTGCACACTAGTAGGTACCTAGTGGTTTGGAATCGTAGTCAGAGTACATTGAATATTATCAGGACCAAATAAAATTGTCTGGATACGTAATTATGGTACAGGGTGGCCCAACGGAAAGGCCGCACCCCCCATTTATGACGCTCTTGGTATACGTTGGGGAAAAACCCTCGGACACGTCAATTTTGCTTTCTAGGGGGACGCCTTTTCATCTGTAGCCGTACAATACAGGGTGATCCAAAAATAAGATATTGCGTTACACTTAAGGTTTTTAAATGGGATCGCCCATTTTTTTTACTTTCTATGAAGTCTTTTTAACTTTTGTATAATAAAGTTTATGCCTATGTTCAATCGGTGTGAAGCTATTTTGAGTTTATAGTAAAATTCGAATAACTTAATACTGATAATAATGAAATGCACGGCAAAAAATAATCATGGTTACCAGCAAGAACATTTAGCATCAGTCAGTGTCATCGTATGTTATAGAAAAGCTTTGTCTTTCATTTCAAATTGTTACTTAGTTACCTAGTTGTGATAAATATTGAAGAACGACTTATTTAATTCAAGAAATGGTACCTAGATATAACAGAACGTATTACCAAAATGGGAGCATTACAAGACCTACTGCCCCGTTGTTTAATGCGTTACATCCAAACATATGAACGATAAGCATCTATGTAGCTAAGTTAATCAGAAATTTTGAAGAAACTGGATCTATGAAGTCGCAGAAATAGCAGTTTTGGGACACGTAGCACTTGACAACACCCAAAGCATTCGTGGACTGGTTGCTTCTTCAGGATTTACACGCTCAACAGTACAAACAATTATGAACGACAGTAGATTTCACCCGTACAAGATAAAACTTGTCCAGGAGCTTGACGAACACGATTTTGATAGAAAGTTGGAGTTTTGCGAATTAATGGCACAACGTTTAATCAACAATGCAAATCTGTTATTCAATATTTGTTTCTCGGATGAGTGTACGTAGTATTTAGATGGCGCTGTAAATAGACATAATTGTCGATCTTGGAGGACTTGAATCCATATTTGTTTCGAGAAGTACACTCGCAATATCCTGAGCAATAAATGTCGACCGGCATTTTAGGAAATCATACTGTAGGACCTTTCTTTATTCGTAGAGACTTAACGGGCGAGACGTATTTGGACATGCTAGAAAATACAATAGAGCCTCGAATTACCGAAATAATGAAAAAGAACGTTAATTTATTAATAAAGACAGTTTTTTGACACCCATTTCCTGAATCAGTGGATCAGCAGACGAGGCCCTAAGGCCCCTAAGTCCTTTACATTACTTTCTTTAGGGGCATTCGTCAGCGGATTACGGCTGAATATAGACAAATAACTCAAGACGTGCTTGAAAGTGTGAGGATAGATTAAAAAAAAATCTGTATGATTGCATGGAGGTTATGTTTTCATTTTGAATATAAAGAAATTTTAGGCTGATAAAAAGTTTCATCAGCCTGAGATTTCTTAGAATTCAAAATGAAAACATAAACTCAAAACAGCGCTGACACGGAAAAGTAGAAATCTAGAAATACCTCTACCTTTCTGAAGGACACGAAAAACTATAAGAATTAAGGAGGCCATAAAGGCGTCCTACAATTTATTGTAGTAATGACTGACGACACGGCCCTTAATACAGATCTACAGATCAAGTATTCTATTCTTTAATAAGCATGGCCTGAAACAGTTTTAAAAAATGTTTTATTAACATTTGATATAATAAATAATAAAATGCAAATATATATCACTTACTACCTATTCAATGTAGCCGATATTTTTAGGTATATACACTTATACATTATTTTTTACTAGCAAGTTTGTATTTTAGCAACTGTATTTCATCGCACTGTTTAGTAATCTTTTCATTTTGAGAAGCTAAATGCTCTGTCATAGCATCTAACTGACTTTTGTAGTTATCATTTGTTATCATTAGTTCTTCGTAACTCCTCTCCATTTTATTTTTCAAATCACTCAATTCCAACGTGATATTTTCTAGCCTACTTTTCAGGGCATCATTTTCTGCGTATGTTGTTTTCATTTCAGACTGCAGAAGAACATTTTTGTCTAATAAATCTCTAAGCTTTGTTTCGTAATAGCTCGTTAATTGGTCATTTGAATCTGGCTTGGACTTTAGCAACTCACATTCTGCTTTCCATCTTTCAGCCTCAGCTTTCCACTGATTGGCCTGAAATCAAAATAATGAATCATTCTCAATCATTTTTAAAAAAATGTATCCTTTTCAGAGCGTTACTCGTTATAATATAGCTTTAGTGTGCAAAAGCTTTCGACTGTGCTTAAAATTCGACAATTTATAAAAACTGAACCGAGACGGTAATCAATCGTCATATGGACCAAAAATGAAAGGAATGTTGTTAATATTTAGTGCAATAGATAATGCAAATATGTTAGTAAATAGTCATAATCGTGACTAAAAATAGATTTATGGTTTTAAACATATTTTTTTTAAATGAAGCTTTCATATAAAAATGATTTTTTGAACTTTACTGGTGTTTTTGTATTTCATTCAAATTCAAAACATGTCGTTTGTACTGGGAATATCTTTATTAATAAAAACTTACTGAATCCGATTCTTCCCTAGTTTGTTCCTTATCCTTCATATTAGTATTTGATAAACTATCTATCATTTTCCTGAGATTCAAAATATCTTCTTTATTCTTTTTATGCCTTTCACTGTGGTATTTTTCCTTGTTTTCTAATTCTTTCTCGAAATTTGCTAATAGTTCCTCTAATCCTTTAATCTTCTGGGTACATTCTAATATTTCTGTATCTTTACCTGCAATCTGAAATAAATAATTAGTCCCATAATAATCCCACATTTGGGCAGGTACTAAATTTGTAACTATAAGAACTAAATAGGAAAATTTAAATCAGTCAATATCTGTTATCAGAATGAAAGGGGTACCTAAGATATACAGTGTGGTTGAAAAAGGGATGGGGAAACTACTAACTGTAGAAGTAAAAATATTTCTTGAATGTTTTCAATTTTTTTTGTCATAATCATGGATAGCTCTAAGAACATTTCTGTTATGTCAACAAAGCTCGCAAGGAACAACAATGATTTTAATTTTGCGATGTAAGATATGCTGATAATCATATATCATAAGATTGTTATGGCTCTTCTAAACGAGCAATTGTTTACTGCAATATCTAGCTGCAATAGATAGCCAGCAACATACAGCGATATTTTTAAAATGACACGGCACACTTATTACGTAACTTAAAACGTAAATCGATTTTGTATGACATTATGGAGGTGTTTTTGAATGATGCGGGTTTTCTTGTAGATTGAACCTTTCAGGTAGGCGACATTCCCTTCATGCTCACTCGCAGTAGTCGCGGAATGAACTAGCGGCACACTAGTGCACAAGTTGACGTTTTAACGATTTTTTTTACATTATACAGGTTGTTAGGGAAATTATATTCGTAACTTTAAGAGGTGATTCCTTGCGTTATTCTAAGCAAAAAAGTTCATCATAACCTATGTCCGAAAATCAACCATTTCGGAGTAAAGAATGCTGACCTTATTTCTTTTTAGTCATGAAATAAATTAATTTTGCACCTTAATAATTTAAATTCATATGCCTAATAGCGTAAAATGTATCAATACATCTATTTATTAATTAATTGTCTCTAACAAAATCATTTTCTTGCTTATTAAATACAATTTTCCGAAGAAAAACAGACCAACAAAATCCTTGACACAACTGGCAACGTCGAACTTCGCCTGTACTGCATGTATCATCGCGTGTTGTTGCGATTACTAATACATTTAACTGTAACTTTATGTGATTTAGGGATGTTTTTTTTTGCTTTTTTCGTACATCGCATCGCTTTAAATAAGTGACTGATAATCGTCAGAATTGGTGGTTTGTATCGCCACGTACCGGTAAGTTCTGTCAGTAAATGTACTGTACTGAAAGCGTTATTATATATAATAATAAAATCGAGACGTCACTGCACTTAATAAATTTAATCAAGTTAGAACTAATTTAGCTCCTTAATGTTATAAATATCACGACCAAATTAGCTAAGGGATATTTAAGATATTTGCGAATTTTTTTTTTAAATTTTAACACCCTATATCTTGAGAACGAAGAATTTGCGGACCCATGCTTGTATGAACTTTTTGTCCTAAATTTACTCAAATAATCGTTCGCTAAATTTATGGTACATAATTAACACCCTGTATGCTACACATGTTTGGCACTTAATACTCGCAATTTCTCAAAAACAATGCTGGTCGAATGATATTCACTGCTTCTTGCACTTTAATACTGAAATCATAAATTGTTGCAGATTTTTGTGACTTTATGCCGTTGTAAATTGGTAGTACTTGAAGGGCTTGGTCCTGCCTTATTCAAAATTATGACTAAAACAAGCAGCGTATTTAAACAATTCTAGATGCTCGTATGAATAAAAATGTTCTTTCCAGAAAATTAGTTTTTGGTTTAATATTTTGCCTTTAAAAAGTACTGAAGAACACCATTAGCAAAACTTGAAAAGTTTGGCGCCAAAGATTCGACGTAAAGTTACAGCACGACTTGGTTCTCTCGTATCTAGAGTTTACAAAATAATTTGTAGCTTTAGGATTCTAGCTATCAGGTGTTTTTGCAGAAAAATTTTAGGAGCAACGGTTCTCATGCAATTCTAACGGATTTTTTGCATTTTTTTCCTTTTTCTTTTTAGTCCACAGGCTTTGAATTTTTTTTATATAAAACCTAAAAAATAAAGCTTCAAAACGCTCTTTTTTTAAGTCTAGATACGACCATTTTCACTGAAATACAACCTGTTAAATATCGCTAAAAAATTTGGATTTTTCCTTGCTGCCCTAATTTTTTGAAGTAGTGTATTAACAATAATAAAGTAACTTTATTGCTTATCTTACACCTTAGCTTGAGGACTGCTCTTTCACTTAAATACTTAAAAACCTCATTAGCAGCATTAGCATTTGCTTTCAAAATGGAATTTCTAGGTACCTTACCTAACCCAAATCAAATCCCAGGTATCTAAATCTACCTACTTAAATTACCTATCTTTGTCAAAACCATAGTTAGGTAGGTATTTTCCTGCATTTTCAGGGTATGGACAAACAATTTCATTGTCTGCTATTAAGGCTAGGCATTTGTGCAGTTACCTACATATTTTGTGAGAACTAAAGCACGTATAATTATCTTTGATATTATGTAGTAAGTTAGTAGACAGGCAGATATAAAATTTATGATGTAAAATGTAATCTGATGGTTTATTACTCTTGTCATTTTGAAATAGACTATAGCACATACAATTCTGCAAAGTAATATAGCTGAAGTTTTTAACAAAACAAAACAACACTAAACATGGATTATTGAACCTGCTTCACAAAGTCTCTGATCAATATCATTTTCACAAAAAAATTAATTCTGATTGATAAATTGGGGGAGAAAGTGTGGGTCTTGTCTTTATGAAATGTTCCAGAACCCCACAAAAATTTGTGAGCTAACATTAGTGTGAAAAAACTAATCCCCGGGATTGATAGTTTTCTCGAACTATTCAATGGTGGCCTTGGATTTGACCTTGACAATGACCTTCAAGTCGATTTTTGTTACCAGCGATCAATCCCGAAAGAACAGTAAAGTCAGTTTATCTGGGGATTACACAGTTATCTGAATTATCAAGAAATTAAGGTAAACTCGTGCTTGACCTTGATGGTCAAGTCCAAGGTCAAGTTCAAAAAATGGTCAAGGACATACTTGAACATAGAGTGTTTCATTTCCGCGGTCAAAAGTATAGTGTCCCATTAAAAAAGAGTAGACTTCCAAATGACCTTGAAAGTCATGGTCAGTTAACATTGGATATACGGGGAAACATCATTCATAAAAATAATGGGTAGTTTCCCTAAACGAACTGAGTTTCAAGCTATGTCACCCCCCTAGGATTGATAGGATATTTCCCCAGCAAGTGACCTTGATCTGATCTTGACCAAGCCGATTTTTGTAGCCAGGGAACGATCCCGAAAGAACAGAGTGAAGTCAGTTTGTCTGGGGATTACACAGTTTTCTGAATTATCCAAAAATTAAGCTGAATTTGTGTTTGACCTTGATGATCAAGTCGAAAGTCAGTTTTAAAAATGATCAAGGTCATATCTGAACATAAAGCTACCCCTTTTCTCCATTTCCGCGGTCAACAGTATAGGGTCCCGTTAAAATTACCTCGAAGGTCCTCTCAAAGTCAGATTCAAGGTCCCTATTGGAAGTCCGGGGGAAAATTATTTAAATAATGTCTCAACAACTCCCAGCGATTGATAGTTGTCCCCAGCTATACAATGGTGGCCTTGAAATTGACCTTGACAATGACCTTCAAGTCGATTTTTGTAACCAGGGAACAATCCCGAACGGACAGTAAAGTCAGTTTATCTGGGGATTACACACTTATCTGAATCATCAAGAAATTAAGGTAAACTTGTGCTTGACCTTGATGGTCAAGTCCAAGGTCAAGTTCAAAAAATGGTCAAGGACATACTTGAACATAGTGTTCCTTTTTTTCATTTCCGCGGTCCAAAGTAAAGGGTCCCATTAAATAAGAGTAGACTTCCAAATGACCTTGAAAGTCATGGTCAGTTAACATTGGATATACGGGGGAAAATCATAAAAATAATGGGTAGTTTCCCTAAACGACAACTAGGTTTCAAGTTATTTCACCCCCCCTAGGATTGATAGGAGTTTTCCCCAGCTATCCAATCGTGACCTTGATCTGATCTTGACAAGACGATTTTTGTAGCCAGGGAACGATCTCGAAAGAACAGAATGAAATCAGTTTGTCTGGGGATTACACAGTTTTCTGAATTATCCGAAAATTAAGCTGAATTTGTTTGACCATGATGGTCAAGTCGAAAGTCAAGTTTCAAAAATTATCAAGGTCATATCTGAACATAAAGCTTTCCCTTTTCTCCATTTCCGCGGTCAACAGTATAGGGTCCCGTTAAAAAAGCGTTGACCTTCAAATTACCTCGAAGGTCCTCTCAAAGTCAGATTCAAGGTCCTCATTGGAAATCCAGGGGAAAATTATGAAAATAATGTCTCGGTTGTTTCCCTAAACGACAACTCCCAGCGATTGATAGTTGTCCCCAGCTATACAATCGCGACCTTGGATCTGACCTTGACCATGACCTTCAAGGCGATTTTTGTAGCCTGGGAACAATCCTGAAAGAACAGTGAAGTCACTTTATCTGGGGATTACACATTTTTCTGAATTACCAAGAAATGAAGGTAAACTCGTGTTTGACCGTCATCTAAGGCCAAATTCCACAGGACATATATGAACATGAAGTTTTCCATTTTCTCCATTTCCGCGGTCAAAAGTATGGGGTCATATTAAAAAAGAGTCGACCTTCAAACCACCCTGAAAGTCAAGGCCAAGGTCAGATTAAAGGTCACCACTGGATATCCTGGAAAAAATTATGTAAATAATGTCTAGGCAGTTTTCCCTAACGACAACTGCCTTTCAAGTTAAATCACCGTACCTGAGTTTGACCTTGACCATGACCCCTAAGGTCAACATTTAAGAATGATCAAGACCGTATTTGAACAAAATTTCCTGTTGTTTTCATTTACGGGGTCAAAAATAGGGGGTTACTCTTAAAAAATCGACTTTTACTTCAAATGACCCGAAAGTCATGGTCAAATTCAAGGTCACCATTGGATATCTGGGGTAAGCTCCTATCAATCTCACGGCTACGTTTTTTTCCTACCATTATCAGTTACACATCACAAATTATTGTAGGGTTTTGGAACTTTTCAGACAAGCTGTATGTTAAATACAGGAAGTGACAACTTCAGTAGCCTAGTTCTGATAATGTTACGTCTTAATAAATTCAAAGATTGATGAATTTAGGTAACTTAAAGCAGTTCAGTGCTGAAGTGGTTCTATGTTGTATTGCAGTAGCCTTGACAGCTCATAGCAGTTTCCAACTACCTGTAAGATTTGATAGTTTGTTGATGCTTGAACTTTTTTCCAGCTAAATGAAACCACATCTGTCAAAGCTGTTCCATGGCTACTGCATTACTCTAAAAATAGTTGTGCACTATTTTGTTCAATTCATACGTTTTTTTCCTACCATTATCAGTTACACATCACAAATTATTGTAGGGTTTTGGAACTTTTCAGACAAGCTGTATGTTAAATACAGGAAGTGACAACTTCAGTAGCCTAGTTCTGATAATGTTACGTCTTAATAAATTCAAAGATTGATGAATTTAGGTAACTTAAAGCAGTTCAGTGCTGAAGTGGTTCTATGTTGTATTGCAGTAGCCTTGACAGTTCATAGCAGTTTCCAACTACCTATAAGATTTGATAGTTTGTTGATGCTTGAACTTTTTTCCAGCTAAATGAAACCACATCTGTCAAAGCTGTTCCATGGCTACTGCATTACTCTAAAAATAGTTGTGCACTATTTTGTTCAATTCATGGTGCATATGAAAACAATAATGGCAGATTTCTGTGACAGTAAATGAAAGTTCATACTTTCTTAATTATGATCAATATTAAAATGCTCATATATTTTCAACACACAACACAGTGGAAGATACAGATTCTCTCCAATTTTGCCATTAAAAAGTAGTGTTGAATCATACTCCACAAGCTTCAGCTTCAACTTTAAAATAGTTAATAATTTTCAATACAATGTTTATCAATTATGTCCAGGTTTTTGCATAGTTAGTGTGAGCTGCAGAGCATCATCTAAAGATAATAAACATGGCAAATTAATGAACTAACCACATTGTAAAGTTGAGCATTTTCTAGTATCTTTTTTTGCAATTCTTCATTTAATATACTGATATCAACATTCTGTGGCATCTCCATAGATTTGTTTTTTCCTTTTTTAACACTATTGCTATCTTGTAATTCTTGTTGCAAGACGGTTATTCTTTTTGTTAGCTGATCATTCCTGAATGTGAGGCTTTCCATTTCCTGTTCCCTCTTTCTAATAGTTTGCTCGTAGTTTTTTACTAATTCACATAACTCTCCGTTTTTCGTCTGCTCATCCAATACAGCCTTTTTAAGCACTGTTGCTTGTGAACGAATCTGTAAAAAGGGGAGCATAATATGTAATTTCATATATTTTGGTTTAACAAATCGTAGATTTATTTACCTTCGAGTATTCACCGGCTAACTTTTGATATTTTGTTTCTAAATCAGCTTCCTTATCCATTTTTTAAACGGTCAATTTGCAGGTATCGATTTCTATCTGTGTAAAATTAAAAAATAAATAAATTCAATAACAAATAAATTCATCCCCTGCTCTCAGAAAGCAAAACTCATTGACAGCAAAGTTAACCAGATTGGGTACTACACTGAATACTGTTTGAAAGGAAGAGTAGGTAACTTTAATTTGTAATTCCCAACTTGGCATTATGCATTTTGAATTCGTTAGAGTTGTTGTTGAAGATTTATTTAGCATTAATGCTACCACGTCAATTTTGTATAATGATTCGGTTACATATTTTTCTTCAATCCATTTTCTGTAATATTACATTCTTGTCTATTAAAATTTAAATTACGTCACTATGAATTTTGATTATTCATAAAGTGATTTTTTAATTTCACCTTAAACATTTTTAAATTCGAACTCAGTTTAATATCATTATTCAATTTATTAAATTCAAAAACTCCATTTTGAAATATAGATTTACTAGTTATGCTACTATTACAATTTTGCAAATGAAAATCTATACTGCCTCTAGTTTCGTAGTTATGATAATGACTATTTAATTTTGTTCGACATTTAACAGGCATTTTACTCAGCACTATTTCATTCACAAATTTCATCATGAAGGACGATACATTTGTTGTTTTTAAGGTTTTTCCATGTTTACAGATTCGTAAGCAGAAAAATGGTAAATCCTTCTCATTGGTTTTTTGTTTCTGGTGGCTGCTGACTCTAGTTCAGACTACTGACCTATGCCTTCCTTTGATCTATTGTTTTATGATTAATGACATTTATTTGACTTATATTTGACGTTTTGTTTATATTTCGAACACGAGAAACGAGAGTAAAAACACATTGTTGTTAATCCAACATTGATTTTTTTAAGCTATTGCAGCATATAAAAAACAAATAATGGCAAAGCAAGGAACTCTGACGAATTTTGTTGCAAGCTTGTACCACGACGAATTCAAATGGTAAGATAAACTTACATGATAGCCAAAGATAGGTTAACTAATTCGATCAATATTTTATAGGGCTCTTGTAAAATCAATTGGTTTATTCGCTCTGGGAATAAGAATTGCACAGGAGTGTATAGGAATGGAGCTGCTACCTTCTCAAGGGTAATAATACTTAGTTGTCAAAATCTCTTGTACACTTAAGTTCATAGTATATATAAAATATGGGATATATTTTGTCATTTTGTTATGTAAGCTGGATATAATACATTTTTGTTAAACATACGAGAACCCTTATAATTTGTTTCAATCATGAGCAGGCTGGATAATTCAAATGATCTCATATCTGCAAAATGGGAGACACAGCTGAAAGTACATATCTCATGTTTCTAAAACTGTTATGCAAGTACCTAAGTACTATGACCCACATAGGCTCATGTCACCATATCAAGATGTATTAAGTCTTATTCAATGTATTCTGTTAATGCTTCCTGTGTTGCATTCGGTTTTTGAGTGATGACATACATTGGTATTATACCAATTAATTCAGAGTAAGTAGATGGAGCAAGCCTATGATTTGTCTTTAAAATATCAGTATGTAGTCAGGATGTAAGTGCATACTACAAACTACAAGAGGAGTTGACAGGTGACTTTGACAGTTGTCATTAAGCTCATCTTTTTATCGTTATGTTTTAAAAGTGTGAGTGTTTGCAGATAGTTGTGGTGATAGATGATTTCAGGACATGGTACATCTGGCACTTTTCAGGTATTATATGGATACAACATTGCCACTGTTGTAAGCATAACACTGCTAACAAGTGAAGTGAGTCAAAAGAATGCACTAAAACTAAAAGTAATTTTGGTGACAAACAATGCAGTGTAAACATATAGGTTTGGCTACTTCTAATCTATTCGAATTTATTGGTATATACCATTAATATGGTATGTAGAGATGCTATACAAAATGGCAACAGGGGGCTGAGGCAAAGATGACGTTTGTATCAGGTCTGGCATAAATTTCACATTCTGTATACATCAGTAGCACTTAAGTAATTAGTAAAGCCTTAGTTCGATCATGTCTTTGAAATATATTAACCTGGGAATCGTTATACCTGACAATTTCTTTGTATCCACAGGGGATGATCTACAGCTTATTGTCAGGGCACAAGACACCACATTGCAATGATGAAACTATTGTATGAAAAAGAAATATTTTCAAAAAACCCAGCTAAGTTGTGCAGTACATGAACTTCTGTCATTTTGACAGATTTGTATGATAAAAATTGTTGTGCCAAAGATACTATGTATATTAAACATAGAATCTGAGAAAACTATCCCACATCCCTCCATAATTTTGAGATTTGGCATTCATAGACTCAAGTCTGTGTAGTCTCAAGGCACTCTGACAGGAGATATCATAAATAATAATGTTGTGAATAAGTTTAAAAACATTTTATTTCAGCTCCACTTTAAAAAGATATTCACATAGAAAAAAACATCTTTGTGATGCATTGATCACAAGATCATTCCTTAATCTGTACATATTTACAAATTCACTAAGTTACATGGCACATAAATATTTACAAAAATTACTAATATCACATATTTGGTCTCTAAAATACTTTAAATGCATATGGTAGTTACTCCTCATTGTTTTCAACAATCTTAAAAGTGAAACTGAGGAACTTACTATGAGTAATAATTATAAAGTACACTTGTGAGAACTTGTTTGCCTCTTTAACTCTACCCTAGCAAAAAATTTGTCATTGCTAGTTTTTCAGTCTTTCCGGTAACTGATAAAGTTAGATACAGAGTGAGTGATTATTTAGACTGGACTATTTTGTCCTTTGACCATTTGCGAAAAACCGTTGCTAAAATTTGAATATATAGGGCGGGAAAATATTTTGAAAATAACATCCTTTATTGAAGACGGGTCAAAATAATTATGTATGTAATATTGTCTTTTTCACGAGTATCCGTTACGGAGGATGATTATTTAGTAATATTTCAAAATTCCCCATATTGACAAATCATACAACTCAGACGGATCCTTCAAGGCCAGGAGGACAGAGCCGTATATTGTTTTGTTTTTTGTAGGCTACAGATTCATCCAGTATACTTGCTAAAAGTTCATTCGAATACAAGAAAAAAGACGCTACAAGCAAGTTTTACTAATTTTGCACCTGATTCATTATTGACAACGGTTAGAGACTAAAGGCCATATCGTCAGTCGTTCGTACAATTGTTCGACGCCTTTATGTCCTCCTTCATTTTCATTGTATTTTCTTTCCTTCAGAAAGGCTGGGATATTTCTAGATTTCTATTGCTCCTTGTCAGCGTCAGCGCTCTCCTATCGTCAGGCTATGTTTTCTTCTTCCATTGTAGAAAATTTCAGGCTATTTGTTAATGGTGTAGATCAAACGCACGAACAATTTGATGCAAATAGATATTTGCAACATAACCTCAAAATAGAGCGCTGAGACGGAGCACTAGACAACTATAAAAATACGGCCCTAATACAAAGATGTCACTTGTTGATCAGCTGTTCACCTCAGTAGACGTCAAAACGTGATGGATCGTCGTGTAATAGTGTTTACATTGTTCTTGTCATTGACTGTAGAGGTCTTTCAAATAACCCAAGACATTTGATTATTGAGTTACATCTAGCATCCAGCTATTATTTGAAAGAGATGTATATAACGAGTATTTATTTTTCCATCCTATAAGCTAAGAAGCTATGTTATACATGTTGATAGGATGTCCATGGCTTGGTTTTGTAGAAAGAAATATTGCATTCTGGTTCTGAATATATTGTTCACTATACCGAATTCTAACAAAAACCTCTAGCAAATTTTAATTCACCGAGCTTATAAAGACAACAAGACATATGTCTCTGTAAATAATCTGAAAAGTGCATTAGAGCACGTTTGGAGCAGTTTAGAGCCTAAAACGTTGAACAAACAGGTAGGTAGGACTAGTATGCCCGCAAGACTTTTTGGCTTAATTAGAAAATGTAGTGAACAAACCTTTCCCTTTTTCAAGCTGCTTAAAAAAATCTAGTAGGCTATAGTTATGCACCATTCACTTTTATGTGTTTTTCATTAATCCCACCCAATTACCTAGTTTGTTGTTAAATGAATTTGAATAAGTTCTATATTTATCGTTTTTATTATTGGTGGGACTATAGTTATTTTGTTTACATGATCTTTATCTTTCTATCTCTCTTCATTTTCGACATAAAAATTAAACTTTATACGATTCTCTCGACCCTAGTGTTTCAGTCAAGGACAATCTGATGATCATATCAGACGATCTGTGATTTTTGGCTTCAAGCTGTCCTTCGAGACAGTCTTATTCATATCACGGCTTACAGTTGGACCATATGAGATATTCAGCAGCACTCTTTCTTAATCCTGATCTTCTCACTCAGCTTACTTTTGATGTCCATCTTCACAGCGGAATCCAGACAACTGTAGCTTGAATAGCTGTGTTCAAAGTTAGGGAAGTAGAAAGTGTGTGGTTCTTTGACGGTCTTTTGTCTTGTGGAACCAAAGTACTTTTTGGCTGCTACTGATGAGAGGATTTCTTCATTCATTCTTTCATTCGACCTCTTCTTCACTTGCATCTGCTCCTCAACTGTGTGGTTCTTTACGTGTTTCCTCAAGCTGCTGGGATCTGTGTATTTTTTCGTACAACCAATCACTTGACAGGCGTATGGTTTCTAAAAAAAAGTATCAGATTATCAGTTATAGACACGTACATAACACATATTTAGTAGCATTTTAATTTTGCTTTACTATCTGACAAATGGAAAAGTACCTTTCATCCAATGGTGTCTCTATGAAAATTTTAAGGTTATTTGGAATCGACGTTAAAAATGTGATCGTTTCATCGTAAAACTTAATATGTTTTCTTACGGAGTAATTCTCTTGTGTGTAAAACGACTCTTAGAAAGGAGAAAACGCTGTCCGCCATGTGTGTTCTGACGTCATACCTTTTGTAAACACCAGCTGACAACAGCATAACCTCTCAAACGTTTTAACACATAAGGTTTGAATGGCTTGTGAAAAGGAAGATTATGTAAGTGTATTACTTATTCTTTCTTTTATGCCTATCATTTTATAAGATGCACTGTACCTATATAGAAGTCTTAGTGTTTCTCAGCTCAGCAGAGCAAAAATCTTACGACCTAAGTCGACGAGTGACGTACGAATGACGTTTCGTTGTTTACAATTTGTATGTCGTCACATCAAGGCCGATAGTGTTTTCACCGTTTCATATTAAAAATGAATCTTTTTAGACTGGACTTACACGGTGAGGTTCAAATTTGGATGACGTCGTAATGTGTACGAGAGAGAAGCGCGTTATGCGTCCAATACGTATGTTAGAAAGAGTGCGCTGATGACGTCCGTGGCCTAGTCGCTCGGGTTGCTAGGCAACGATATGCTTCTGTCTCTTTCTAACACATCTATTGCATGATTCCCGCGCTTCTGTCTCGTGGTATATGGTTTTTCACTGTATATCTATCTTGCGCTTTTAAAATTGAAATCGATACTAATTCATTCTATGAAATTAGATATACGAGGGCGGTTCAATAAGTACCCGTGTTTGACGACAGAGGGCGCTCCCGAGGGAAGTTGTCATCGTGTGCTGCCATCTATCAGACGACGGCACAAGAAATTTCAGACTGATTGATAGGTTAGTTTGGATTTGGCAGCCATTCTAGTAACACGTATTTCGTGATTTTCGCTAAGATGGAAAAAGCAGTATCGTTCGGTAATTCGCTTTTTGTTTTTGGTTGGGAAACAATGCGAGGAGATAAAAGCAAAGTTGGATGTTGTTTATGGGGACACTTCGCCATCTATGACCACAGTTAGATATTGGTTCAACGAATTTAAACGTGGGCGAACATCCGTTTGGTGTCTTCATTTCTAACACGGCTACTTATTGAACCGCCCTCGTAGGTCAAGTAGCCTATTAGCTAGATTTTTTCAGGCATTCATACAAAATGTAACATTTAAAAAAAATTTAGTCATTAGTCATTTTTGAGCATGCCTTGAAGTGACCAGGAAATTAAAATACGTTGGAAAACAGTTTTTCAGGTTTGTAGCGCCTCTAAAAATATTTTTTAACTACTCTGAAAATTCATGAGAATCTCAACAAACATCGAACAGCAACAAGTTTGGTAATGTTAGGGATACATATATCACAAATTCAGCATCAACTACAAATCACTTTATGAATACCCAAAATGCATAGCTATCTAATTTCAATAGACAAAAATCTAAAATTATCGAAAATTGTTACAAAAAGAACCATTATACAAAATTGACATTGTAACAATAATGCTACTAAATAAATTTTCAATAAAGAAACAAAAGTTTGAAAAAAAATCTGCTTACCGTATCAAAATGTGTCCGTTGGTGTTTTGCTCTATCCGAACTATTGGAGAAACTTTTTGTGCAGTTCGAAAATTGACATAGATATGGCCGCTCGCCCGTGTGGCTCCTTTGATGGATTTTCAGATTTTCCAATCTTGAGAAAGCTTTGTTGCATCCTTCAAACTGTAAAAGATAAAAAACGTTGAACGATATAACTTTTCGACGCAAAACTATTAGCATTTGGCGTGCCTTGCTTCCGAGACACGTGGCATAAAGATTTGTCGGGAGACACTCCAAAAAATGTGACGAATCCCAAATGGAGTAAAAAAACGGCGCGGCGTCAAGTAGATTGACTTTGTTGGAGGTTTCAAGAAAGGGATGAGTCAAGTCGCAATTTTCAAAATTTACGACTACCTAAACGATGAAAGTATTAACTCGCGGTCATATTCAAACTTCGGTTCACCAGTTTCCCGTTGCTTAAAGATATCTACATCACCCAAGTCCGTGTTTTTCATCTATGTCGGTTTGTCGGTCCGTGCCTGTTTCAGTTTATTGTTGCATAACTTTAAGATTCGATAGAACTTTTAAAATTAATGCATAAAGTCTATATAAACATGGGTCGAAAAATGCGTGGCTTCCGAAATACAGGGTGTTTAAATTTACTTTCTAAAATAGTTTTTTTTTTAATATTTCGAACAATATTTGATGTATAACAGTGAAAATTGGTATACAAACGACAAAACGAACCCTGGGCATAGTTTTACTGCAGCCGCTAGAGGGAGCTCTCTACAGTACCTGCAGTGTATTAAAATGACCTAAAAATTTTTCTAAGTGCAATTTTTTGCTTTTTGAATAAAAAAACTGATTCTTCGCACTTTTCAACATAAAAAAGCTCTCTTGTGAATTTTCGTTATAGTTAGTCGTTTTTGAGATATTTCGATTTTTAAGGTTCGATGCATTTTTAATTATGTATTATAAAATAACGTTAAAAAGTCAGTATCTCGATAATTTTTAGAAGTAGGCTGTGCCTGCAAATATTTTTGAAATTGAAAGCAGAATAAGGTTAAACGTCAATTAGTTGACAGTTAGTTTTGTTGTCTGTTGAAACCTGAAACGTTTTTTTGCAATTGTGAATGCACGAAATTTAGTTTCTTTTACCTGTTTTTTTTGTAAGTTTTATAAAAATGCCATTTTTATTCTCCAATCAAGAGTTAGCGGATATTCATTTTGTGTATGGCTTTGTAAATGGAAACGCAGCAGAAGCAGCCAGAGAATACACACGAAGATTTCCAAACAGACGACATCCAACTCGCTCAGTATTTGTAAGAGTGCATCGCCAAATCATTTAAAATGGTTTTGGAAATCTCCAAAGGGATCAAAACATAAATGTTCGTCAGCGCAGATTTACCCGTATGATTCTGCGTGAGCTTGATAGACATCCGACCACAAGTGTTAGGAGAGTTTCTGGTACCTTGGGAATTTCAGCAAGCCATGTTCACCGTGTTCTTAGAAATGACCATAGACTTCCTTACCATTTGCAACCTGTGCAAGGATTACAGCCAGTGGACGGAGAACGAAGAATCACATTTTGTCAGTGGATTCTTGATAGAACTGATAATAATAGGGAGTTTTTAAGTAACGTTTTATGGTCCGATGAGTCATGTTTCACTAGACGTGGAGTGGTAAATTTTCATAATCAACAAATTTGGTCGCATGAAAATCCGCATGCAGTTCGGGTAAGAAATTTTCAGCATGAATTTAGTGTGAACGTGTGGACTGGTATCCACCGTAATCGACTATTTGGACCCTACCTTTTGCCTGCAAGGTTAAATGCTGCGACCTTCTTGGAATTTTTAAAGGCCGAACATGCAAATATGTGGGATGATGTTATGGTAGATTTAAGAAGATTGGCCTGGTTCCAGCTTGATGGTTTTCCAGCTCATTATTCGAGAATAGTTAGAAACTGGTTGGACGAAAATTATACAGAAAGGTGGATCGGCCGTGGAGGACCAGTCGCCTGGCCTCCCCGATCCCCTGACCTTAGTCCATTAGATTTCTTTGTGTGGGGATTTATAAAAGAAAAGGTGTACCAGACTCCCGTAACCACAAGAGATATGCTAATAGACAGAATCAGGAATGCATGTGATGAAATAAGGCCTTATTTGAATAATGCTATACCACGTTCGATCATGCGTAGATGTGAATTGTGTATTGAACAATTGGGTTTACATTTCGAGCAACTACTTTAGATTTAGTATGTTTGTCCTAACTGTCCAATAGCATTTTAGTTGTAAATAATTAATTTAATTTGTTAAAAATAATATTGAAAAATTAAACAAATTAATATTCTGTTTTTTTGTGTTTATTTGGAGTTAGGAATTATTGTTGTGTTTAAAAACACAATCTAAACGATCATCTAAATTACTTGTAATGCCCAAATCGAAAATGTAAAAAAAATATTATTTTCCCATAAACAATTAAAAATGTATCGAACCTTAAAAATCGAAATATCTCAAAAACGACGGCTAACTATAACGAAAACTCACAGGTGAGCTTTTTTATGTTGAAAAGTGCGATGAATCAGAAAAAATTGCACTAAAAAAAATGTTTCGGTCATTTTAATACACTACAGGTACAGTAGAGAGCGCGCTCTAGCGGCTACAGTAAAACTATGCCCATGGTTCGTTTTGTCGTACCAAAAAACCCTTGTATACCAATTTTCACTGTTATACATCAAATATTGTTCGAAATATTTAAAAAAACTATTTTAGAAAGTAAATTTAAACACCCTGTATTTCGGAAGCCATGCATTTTTGTAATTGTAAATATGCACATCTTAAGGTCCAACTGGCCACAGACCCCTGCTGCCCCCCTGCAGGAGCCGATCGGCCCCTGCTGGAAGAAATCATATTGACAAGGTATATGCTCTTGCTAATAAAGGGCTCAAGTTTAACCTTCCATAAATTCAAAAATCTGGAAAAAGTGTTGTAATAAGAAAATATAATACTTACCGGACATTTATTTGGCTTCTCCCCGCTGTGTACTCTCATGTGTATTAAAAGCTTATATCTCGCATTGAAGGGCTTCGTGTTCCTTGGACAGTTTTCCCAAAAGCATGTGAATTCTTCACCTGCATCAAAGCAAAGTATAAAATCAAACCACCCAACTAGCAAAGTAGTGGTATAAGCTTTTGGTAAAAGAACCGTTCAGCCATAAAAGCTCTCTATTGTTGTTGCCTGAACACCAAAATGCTGGCTTAATGTTGTGTGGAATGCAAATTTGCTTTCTGCAACATATTTGCTCTAAAATGAGGTGTTTAAAATATTCTTATAGGATAGTTATACAACACCTTATAGGGAAAATTTGTAACTGTTGCATAAACCTTTATACAACTATTTTATACGGCATATTTGCAAGTTAGTCAAAATGGTTGTGTTGTGGCACCCATGCTAACGTTTATAAAACAAACCCGAGCCTTGTTGCTTTGCTGTGCAATTTAATACATTAGCCAACAAATTGCTCCCAACGGAAGCACTTATACAACTGTTACATATGCTAAATATGTTGGTAAACAACTTCAGCATAACCTAACTTTCTGCTGTCATATTTTTGTTGAAATGCCATAACCAATGTTTTAAGACAAACAACAAACAACGCATGCATATCGGTTCAAAAGGTTTTATCAACTGTTCAAACAGAAGATATAGATCTGGTACAAATTCTAGGTAAATCATTCCACTCTGTCGGTATTTCATTTCAGACATTTGTCAAATTGTATAACATCTGCAGGCAACACCAAAATATTCTAATAACAATGCCATGATTGTACACAACCACCCGCCATATTGGGCAAACATTTATTCCTCTATTTAATATTAAATAATTATGTTTCAGTTCGAAATTACAGATATAAAGTGATAAACATTAGTGCAATTGTGTCTAAATATAGGATTTGTAGAAGATTTAACGCAGATAAGTTCAGTTCTCCATCTTAAAAATCTAGACACACTTTTGATTATGGTCAAAATATGAATCAAATACGAAGCCCGTAGAAATTGGGTAACTAATTTGCACGATAATCACAATAAAATTTGCTGCGCAAGTAATTCAATAGCCCTATATCAAAGTGTAGAAGTTTATCCTGTGTATGAAATTCACAATGGCCGATATGTAAGTAAACAAGATAACTGTAATGTGTTAGTTATATATTCTTCACTTCGTCTATACAATACATAGGAAATAGTTTGGTTGCAATAAAGTAGAATCACGTAACAGAATAGTTGTATAGTTGACAAAAACTGAATCTTGCCTTGACGCAAATGTCCTATAGCGGCTGCAAGAGGCTTACACTTTTGTTTTATAACTGTTACCTGCAGCCCTTATACAACCTCTTAAATGACTGAAGTGTCCTATTAGGTGTGCCCATTGCGCTTGTATAGCTGTTCTAAGAGGGTTTTGCTAATGTTCTTACAGTAGACAATCCTGTTTAAGGAATACTGTATAATCATTCTTGCAACTCTAATAGGAGTGATAATTGTTAGTTGGATAGTCACTGTACAGATAAATGCCTAAAACTCCACATTCAAGATACTCAGATATTGAGATAGTTGATAAAAAGTGGATTCAAGTAGACTGAGTGTTCTTACTACATGAACACTCAAAAATTATTCGAAGTTCGGAAAACATGGAAAAAGGAAGATGGAAACGTCTTATCGTGATTTCGCGGCTGCTGGTTCTATGTCCTTAGGACAGATATAAATAAAAGTCATTGTCCAATCGGTTATCATTTTTATAAACTCATATGCCATTAGTTTCATTTGTAATTTGGAAAAAGCTGTCGAGGCCCCCGAAACGTCACAAAAATAGTTATTGCAACATCTGTTAGTAGTGCATATTTTAACATTATTCTAATATATATCTACAGAATGCACCATAACTTCGTGCCATAGCAAAGATATATTTTTTTAATTAGAACACCCTATACAGGGTGTTTCAGTTTATTGTTGCATAACTTTAAGATTCGATAGAACTTTTAAAATTAATGCATAAAGTCTATATAAACATGGGTCGAAAAATGCGTAGCTTTCGAAATACAGGGTGTTTAAATTTACTTTCTAAAATAGTTTTTTTTTTTAAATATTTCGAACAATATTTGATGTATAACAGTGAAAATTGGTATACAAGGGTTTTTTGGTACTCAAAACGAACCATGGGCATAGTTTTACTGTAGCCGCTAGAGGGCGCTCTCTACTGTACCAGTAGTGTATTAAAATGACCGAAAACTTTTTCTTCGTGCATTTTTTTGCTTTTTGAATAAAAAAACTGATTCTTCGCACTTTTCAACATAAAAAAGCTCTCTTGTGAGTTTTTGTTATAGTTAGCCGTTTTTGAGATATTTCGATTTTTAAGGTTCGATGCATTTTTAATTATTTATATTTAAAAAGTCAGTATCTCGATAATTTTTAGAAGTAGGCTGTGCCTGCAAATATTTTTGAAATTGAAAGCAGAATAAGGTTAAACGTCAATTAGTTGACAGTTAATTTTGTTTTTTTACAATTGTGATTGCACGAAATTTAGTTTCTTTTACCTGTTTTTCTTTTGTAAGTTTTATAAAAATGCCATTTTTATTCTCCAATCAAGAGTTAGCGGATATTGATTTTGTGTATGGCTTTGTAAATGGAATCGCAGCAGAAGCAGCCAGAGAATACGCACGAAGATTTTCAAACAGACGACATCCAACTCGCTCAGTATTTGTAAGAGTGCATCGCCAAATGATTGAAAATGGTTTTGGAAATCTCCAAAGGGATCAAAACATAAATGTTCGTCAGCGCAGATTTACCCGTATGATTCTGGGTGAGTTTGATAGAGATCCGACCACAAGTGTTAGGAGAGTTTCTGGTGCCTTGGGAATTTCACCAAGCCATGTTCACCGTGTTCTTAGAAATTACCATAGACGTCCTTACCATTTGCAACCTGTGCAAGGACTACAGCCAGGGGACGGAGAACGAAGAATCACATTTTGTCAGTGGATTCTTGATAGAACTGATAATAATAGGGAGTTTTTAAGTAACGTTTTATGGACCGATGAGTCATGCTTCACTAGACGTGGAGTGCTAAATTTTCATAATCAACATATTTGGTCGCATGAAAATCCGCATGCAGTTCGGGAAAGAAATTTTCAGCATGAATTTAGTGTGAAGGTGTGGATTGGTATCTACCGTAATCGACTATTTGGACCCTACCTTTTGCCTGCAAGGTTAAATGCTGCGACCTTCTTGGAATTTTTAAAGGCTGAACATGCAAATATGTGGGATGATGTTATGTTAGATTTAAGAAGATTGGCCTGGTTCCAGCTTGATGGTTGTCCAGCTCATTATTCGAGAATAGTTAGAAACTGGCTGGACGAAAATTATCCAGAAAGATGGATCGGCCGTGGAGGACCAGTCGCCTGAACTAAATCCATTAGATTTCTTTGTGTGGGGATTTCTAAAAGAAAAAGTGTACCAGACTCCCGTAACCACAAGAGATATGCTAATAGACAGAATCAGGAATGCATGTGATGAAATAAGGCCTTATTTGAATAATGCTATACCACGTTCGATCATTCGTAGATGTGAATTGTGTATTGAACAATTGGGTTTACATTTCGAGCAACTACTTTAGATTTTGTATGTTTGTCCTAACTATCCAATAGCATTTTAGTTGTAAATAATTAATTTAATTTGTTAAAAATAATATTGGAAAATTAAACAAATTAATATTCTGTTTTTTGTGTTTATTTGGAGTTAGGAATTATTGCTGTGTTTAAAAACACAATCTAAACGATCATCTTAATTACTTGTAATGCCCAAATCGAAAATGTAAAAAAATATTATTTTCCCATAAATAATTAAAAATGCATCGAACCTTAAAAATCGAAATATCTCAAAAACGGCTAACTATAACGAAAACACACAGGAGAGCTTTTTTATGTTGAAAAGTGCGAAGAATCATTTTTTTTATTCAAAAAGCAAAAAATTGCACTAAGAAAATTTTTTCGGTCATTTTAATACACTACAGGTACAGTAGAGAGCGCCCTCTAGCGGCTACAGTAAAACTATAGCCATGGTTCGTTTTGTCGTACCAAAAAACCCTTGTATACCAATTTTCACTATTATACATCAAATATTGTTCGAAATATTTGAAAAAAACTATTTTAGAAAGTAAATTTAAACACCCTGTATTTCTGAAGCCACGCATTTTTCGACCCATGTTTATATAGACTTTATGCATTAATTTTAAAGGTTCTATCGAATCTTAAAGTTATGCAACAATAAACTGAAACACCCTGTATTGTATTGCGTACTTGAATAGAGCTCTTAAAAAAATAATTTTTATAGCATATAGTATATGGTTTCTATTGTCAATTGTTTAGATATTTGGTAAATCGTCTGAAAAAAATCCCCAGCTTTGACGGTTCACAGCTCCGCGATTTTTAAAGATATTTAGATAAATCAGCGTAACATCGATAACAATAAAATTTTTGTGGATTAAAATTTATCAAATATCCTCAAAAATGGCGAGCCGTCAAAGTTGGGCATTTCTTCAGACATTTGACTACATATCTAAAGAATTGACAATCGGAACCATATGTTATATGATATTCAACTTATTTCTCTAGAAGCTCTACCCAAACATGCAATAAAATATAGGGTATTCTATTTAAAAATACCTGTTCGAAATGGCACGAAGTTATTAAAATAATTTTAAAATATGTTCTAGTAACATATCAAGGTTACCATGAAAACAGATTTTTGATATCATGTCATACTTTCCATGTTTGTTGGGACACCCTTTATCTCATAATGAATTCTTAGACAAATCAACTGGGACCCATTTGCCATATTTTTTGTGCGGGGCCCTTTGTTAAGACATTTTCGACGCTATTTTGGACCTGACAACATGCAGGGGTCCTTTTTTAAGTCTTTGCAAAAATCATATCTGATGCGTATAATACAAGGTGTTTCAAATTCGACACTCGCCATTGGGATCTCGGTAAGAGATAGAGAGATAAAGTTGCGTATTTAGGTAATCAACAAAATGCCGCTTAGAAAGTTGATTTTGGGTGTAAAGTAAAAAATGAATTTATTATGGAAAGAATAATCATTTGTTTTGCATACCTGATACCAAAATCACGATCATTTTTTTCTGATTTTTTTTTGAGATGGAATTTCAAAATAAATTGCATGTTGTCATTGTTACTTATTATCCGCTACAAGTCAAATTTCCAATTCGACATTTATTCTTTGGACTTCCATCACCAACTTGTTTTTTGATATGGACGCTATATTTGTACATTTAAATGGACTTTTCAGTCCTATATTCCGTGATGTATTTCCTTAGTTGGCCATGAATTTGTTGTTCGATGAAAATTGTAAGAAAATAAAAAGTTGTGGTGAAACCTGAACACAAACCAAACATTTTATTGACGGTAATAACAATAATAATCGTAAATAAGAAGAGGTAACTCATAGATGCTCAAAATCTTGTCAATTATTTTGTAGACAAAGCCTGACTCTGTACATTGTACACTACTCGATTTATTTCTCTTCTTCTCAGTCTTCCAAACTATGTTGCTATGTGTAGTTTGGGGTCTGGTGTGGTATAAGGAGCAAATGACTGATAATTTCAAGGCCTACCCCGGAAGTTCGATTTTTCTGAAATAACTAAGGTTTGCAATGTCAATTTATGGCATATAATGCATTTTAGAATCAGAACTAAAAACTCTATTCATCTGTGTAAAAATTCAATATGGCGTCCATGAGAAAAAATAAAGATGATGCTGGAGGACAAGAGACGAACCGTCATATCGAAATTCTAATTATGCCATCTTATAGTGGAGAAAAATTGGATGTGTGTTACTAGGTCTGGTCTGATATACGAAACAAATGAAAATTGATAATTTCAAGGCCTACCTAGGAGCTTCCGTTTTTCTGGTATAACCAAGGTTTGCCAATGTCAATGTATGACATATTATAGATTTTTGAAATCAGAATTAAAAACTCTATTCATCTCCACAGAAATTAAATATCGCGGCTATGAGAAAAAAAATAGTTATTGCTCGAGGACAAGAGACGAAACGTCATGTTGAAATTCTAATTATGCCGTCTTGTAGAAGAGAAAAAGTGGCAATGTTAATGTGCAATTTATTTTGCAATCCCACTATAGATAAAGTCGGGTCTTTCTCCGGAAGTACTTTGAATTTGGGAACTCCCTAAGTGACAGTCTGTTGATTACCTAAATATGTAACTTTCCCCCATTTAAGCTACTTCATATCTCCTACAGTTTCCGATATCTCAATGATGGGGGTCAAATATAAAATACCATATACAGGGTGGCCCATCCATGCGTGGACGGAATATTACTCATAAACAAATACTATTTGGGAAAATCTATTTATGGGATGTTATACATGACATTTGAGGGCACATTTCTAAAATATTGGCGATTCTACAGGGTGTCGCAATTTTGACCTACATATCAAAGTTGTGATTTTTCAAATAGAATGTCTCAAATTTTATTGCAAATTTGGATAAACCAATTCAAAAGAAGAAAATTGATATGACATACTATAGGCTGCCCGCCTGAATTTCGTATCAGAAAAAAATTACACACCTAAGCTTTTATCTTATCAAATGCATCACCCTGTATATAAGTGCAAATTTGGATTCAATTCTTTATAAGCTTATTTTTGATACTAGACACATAAGGGGTTTTACGGCTATTTTTTCGGTTATTAGCACGTCTTTTATGGAACGGCTTAATTTCCCAAAATATCGCATCATCCCTGGAAACAAATGAATTGTTGATTAGTTACAAACTGTCAAAATTAGCTTTGTGAACATTATAATAAAAAAGTGTTTGAAAATGAATTTTTCTAAAGAAGAAATGGTGAATATGGTGTTCGTTTTGGGCGAAGCCCAAAGAAATATTTCCTAGCATCTCGCATTCATAAGCAACGGTACCCTAAAATGCGACATCCAAGGCCGGAATAATTTTCCACACTACGAGAATATTTTAGAAATGTGCGCTCAAATGTCCTGTATAAAATGCCTTAAATAGATTTTTCCAAAATGTATTTGTTTATGAGTAATATTCCGTCCACACATGGATGGGCCACCCTGTATACCTCCTGGACTGAAGAACCTTGTGCCGAAAAAGAAACTCACCTCTCTTCAGCTCCACATGCATTTTCTCAATATGCTTGACCAGACTCGACTGCGACTCGTACACTTGGTAGCACCTGTCCCACTTGCACTGAAAGCTGATCGCGCTGCTTACATCGTCTATCTCGAGACCGTCGCAACTGTCCATTTGGTCAAAAGCAAAGTTCCTGGAGTACATTAGATTGGTCGAGCTGAACAGGGGGTCGTCGTTCAGCAATGCGTCGGTTTGGGTTAGAACCATTTGGTTGGCCTGGGATTGGTCAGGAAAGCTCTGGTTCGAGTTGGATTCCTCGGCGATAAGGTTTGCCGATTGGCTGCCTATCAAGTGACCAAAGTCGCTTTTCGAAGGGACTTCCTGGTCCTGTAACAACGGAATTTGTGAATATTTATCAGAGTATGCGGCCAACTTATAAAATTGTAGGACTTCTTTACGGCCTCCTTGATTTTCATAGTCTTCAGTCTCCTTCAGAAAGGGTGGGTTATTTCTAGATTTCTACTGTTCCGTGTTAGCGTTAGCGCTCTCCTATTGTGAGGTTATGTTTTGTTTTTGAACGTTAAGAAATTTCAAACTGGTAAAACAGATAAAAGATAAAAGTACTCATCTATAATAACTATACTAAGTGACATATAAATCCGAACACCCAGTTTAAATGGTTTTATTTTAATAAAATTTTGTATAAGTACTTAATGAACCATAATAAGTAAATGATAAAAATTTCAAAATGATTGCACTGCTTTAAAGCCCTTTGACCTTTAATAATGTGTGGATGCACCCTGATGTGCTACGCATTCTCCAACGCGCCTGGGCATGCTTCTAATCAGGTGGTCAATGTCCTCCTGTGGTATCTCATTCCAGGCAACCACCAACTCCTCTCGAAGTGCTTCTAGAGTCTGAGGAGGACGTTGCAAATTAAGCAATCTCCTACCCATCACATCCCACACGTGCTCAATTGGGGATAAGTCGGGAGATCTTGGTGGCCATGGTAACAATGTGACATCATTATGTTGAAAGAAGTCTATTGTGACTCTTGCAACATGTGGTTGGGCATTATCTTGTTGGAAAGTTGGATCTTCCAGGGTGTCAAGATAGGGTAAAAGATGGGGTTCTAGAACTTCGTGGATATAACGCTGCGCGTTCATGTTACCTCTGATGAACAATAAAGGTGACCTGGAACCATAAGCTATAGCACCCCAAACCATAACTGCAACATTGTGATGAACATGTCTTTCAACAAAAAACTGTGGATTCCTCCTTTCACCACGTCGCCTTCTAACCCTGGCACGACCATCGTGCATGCCTAAATAAAATCGTGATTCGTCACTAAAGACAATACTGTTCCATTCCTGATTCCAGAGTGACCGTTGTCTGCACCACTCAAGGCGATTACGTCGGTGTTCTCGAGTTAAAGGGAGGACCCAGTGTGGCCGGTATGAAAACAAGCCAAAACTTCTCTTTCGTCGGTAAACACTTCGCATGCCAATAGGTCTTCCGTGTTCTGCAAACCATTCATTTGCAATGGACCTGGTAGTGGAGAAACGGTCCCTTAAGGCCAATAATCTTAGGCGGCGATCTTCACGGTCTGTTGTTCTACGGCGGCGTCCAGTGCCCCTTGCCCTTTGCGTACGGCCTTCTCGAAGTCATGCCTGACAACACCTAACCACAGTGTCTACACTTTTTTGCACTCTAACTGCAATTGTCCGAAAAGAAAGTCCAGCTTCCCGAAGTCACACTATACGGCCCCTATCAAACTCACTAAGTTGACGAAATCCGTACTCTAGGCATGATAACCGATCGTAAAGGATGTCAAGAACCAAAATCCGCCAACGTTGATTCTTTACTGCGGCTGAAATATTCATTTTTAGAGCGTTAGTGAATTAAAAAAAAGCAGTATAAAAACCGGAATGTCCAACTGATAAGGCTGAACATTTTTTCACTTGTTATTCACAGTAAGATAAATACATTCCCCAATTTTTATTAAAATAAAACCATTTAAACTGGGTGTTCGGATTTATATGTCACTTAGTATATATCAAATTTCAACTTTTTAACATCAGTTCGCTAAAATGTAGGCTCAATCAATTGGGCAAGAATACTTATTAGATCTATACGAGGAGGTACCCAAAAATAACCGGAATAGCTTTGCAGTGGGTGGAGCTTGTGTAGTACACATTTCTTCCCCTAGAGGCGTAGAGCGCAACTCATTACCAGTTCAGTGCCACCTGAGTTGTCGATCTGCCTTGTTTATTTTTGCTAGAGCTGTTTCGTGCTTGTTTAGTTTTTTACGATCGCACGCTTCAGATGATCAACGTGCAGCTGTGAAATTTTGCTTTCTAATTGGTAACAATGCTGCTGAAACTGTTTCAATGTTCAAAATAGCTTACAAAGATGATGCTATGAGAAAAGCGCAGGTGTACGAGTGGTTTGCTCGATTTAAAAATGGCAAGTGACACTAAAAACGTACTGCGCACGCTCATGACGGTTCGCTGTACGGTACACGGCTTTGTGGGAACGAAGCCCCTATTTCACGAGTAGCCATCACAGGACGATGACGGCTAGTTATCTAGTGATATTTCAAAATTCCCCATATCGGCACAGGACACATAATTAATTCCGAGAGATCGGTGAACTTCATGTAGGCAGACCCGTATTTTGTTGTGGTTCTTTGTATGCTCCAAAGGCGTGTTATTGAAAATCGTCAGCCATTCATTATAAATCTGGTTGAGTCTGATGAGATAGTTGTGTGACTAGCATAGTGGGATTGCGTCTAATGTGTGCACTAGCTCCACAATTACTTTTTAATGACTGTGAAAAGACACGTGTCTGTAACTATACTAAGTGACATATAAATCCGAACACCCAGTTTAAATGGTTTTATTTTAATAAAAGTTGGTGAATGTATTTATCTTACTGTAAATAACAAGTGAAAAAATGTTCAGCCTTATCCGGTTTTTATACTGCTTTTTTTTAATTCACTAAGGCTCTAAAAATGAATATTTCAGCCGCAGTAAAGAATCAACGTTGGCGGATTTTGGTTCTTGACATCCTTTACGATCGGTTACGATGCCTAGAGTACGGAGACCTGTACGATTTCGTCAACTTAGTGAGTTTGATAAGGGCAGTATAGTCGGACTTCGGGAAGCTGAACTTTCTTTTCGGGCAATTGCAGTTAGAGTGCAAAAGTGTAGACACTGCGGTTAGGTGTTGTCAGGCATGGCTTCGAGAAGGCCGTACGCAAAGAGCAAGGGGCACTGGACGCCGCTGTAGAACAACAGACCGTGAAGATCGTCGCCTAAGATTATTGGCCTTAAGGGACCGTTTCTCCACTACCAGGTCCATTGCAAATGAATGGTTTGCAGAACACGGAAGACCTATTGGCATGCGAAGTGTTTACCGACGAATGAGAAGTTTTGGCTTGTTTTCATACCGGCCACACTGGGTCCTCCCTTTAACTCGAGAATACCGACGTAATCGCCTTGAGTGGTGCAAACAACGGTCACTCTGGGATCAGGAATGGAACAGTATTGTCTTTAGTGACGAGTCTCGATTTTGTTTAGGCATCCACGATGGTCGTGCCAGGGTTAGAAGGCGACGTGGTGAAAGGAGGAATCCACAGTTTTTTGTTGAAAGACATGTTCATCACACTGTTGGAGTTATGGTTTGGGGTGCTATAGCTTATGGTTCCAGGTCACCTTTAATCTTCATCAGAGGTAACATGAACGCGCAGCATTATATCCACGAAGTTCTAGAACCCCATCTTTTACCCTATCTTGACACCCTGGCAGATCCAACTTTCCAACAAGATAATGCCCGACCACATGTTGCAAGAGTCACAATAGACTTCTTTCAACATAATGTTGTGATATTGTTACCATGGCCACCAAGATCTCCCGACTTATCCCCAATTGAGCACGTGTGGGATATGATGGGTAGGAGATTGCTCAATTTGCAACGTCCTCCTCAGACTCTAGAAGCACTTCGAGAGGAGTTGGTGGTTGCCTGGAATGAGATACTACAGGAGGACATTGACCACCTGATCAGAAGCCGAAATTTTTATCATTTACTTATTATGCTTCATTAAGTAATTATACAAAATTTTATTAAAATAAAACCATTTAAACTGGGTGTTCGGATTTATATGTCACATAGTATACATGCTTTGGGCCTCTAGCACCCCTGCACTAATCTTAGCATACGTTCTGGACGTGATGAAACTTTAGCGCGGTTTGCATGAACATAGAATTGATGTGTACTCACTTTTCCGCAGGAGTCGTAGGTGCTCGTGCTGTTCACTGGTATACCTCTCAGGAAGTGTCCGAAATCCACGTTACTTTTTGTGATCGTGTTCACAGGAGGAAGTGGAGTCGCGCTCATATTCACGCTCTCTGTGAAAGCGTTCTCATTGAAATCTTGCAACCCCGTCGTAAGGTCGTCGATATCCAAAGAGGTTTCGTTGAGGTCTTCTACGGGAATACTGTGAAGGTCCGCGTTTTCAGGCGTTTTGCCTTGCGATTGTTGATCGGTCAGTGAGAAGGGTGGCAATACGAAGAATTGTGATGATGAGGCAGTCTTGTTGAAGATCTTTTGGTTTGTTTCGTAGGAGTTTTCAGTCGTATACGTTTCTGTGTCGAAATTCGAGTCGACCTGCAAAGAAAGACAATTTTAACTCACAAAAAAGTCCCGGACATTTGTAAAACAAAGTGACAAGTTTCTTTAAAAGTCTTTCCTATAGGACCATACGAGGAGGTACCCAAAAATAACCGGAATAGCATTGCAGTGGGAGGAGCTTGTGTAGTACACATTTCTGCCACTAGAGGCGTACAGCGCAACTCATTGCCAGTTCACAGCCACCTGAGTTGTCGATCTGGCTTGTTTGTTTGGTTTTTTACGATGGCATGCTTCAGTGAGCAACGTGCAGCTGTGAAATGTTGCTTTCTAATTGGTAACAATGCTGCTGAAACTGTTTTAATGTTGAAACTAGCTTACAAAGATGGTGCTCTGGGAAAAACTCACGTGTACGAGTGGTTTGCTCGATTTAAAAATGGCGACATGTCGATTGATAGCAAACTTCGCTCTGGACGTCCATAAACTGCCCGAATCGACGAAAATGTTGAAAAAATTCGAGTTCGGTTCAGCGAATTTTAACAGAAGATTTGGGAATGGAAATGGTTGCTGCCAAGTTTGCTCCTCGGGCTCTGACTGACAATCAACAAGAACACCGAGTTGAAACATGTCGTGCTTTGAAACAACAGCTTGAATCTGGCGATGAGACTTGGTGTTACGGTTATGACCCAGGAACGAAGCAACAGTCGAGTCAATGGAAGACGCAATCGTCACCCCGTCCAAAAAATGTGGTCAAGTCAAATCAAACATCAAATCAATGCAGATTTGTTTTTTTGATGTCAAACGCGTAGTCCATTCCGAGTTTGTTCACCCCAAGAGATGCCAGAGGAAGACTTCAAAAAATGTTTCGAGCGGTGGGACAAGTGTATTAGTTGTAGTAGTAGTATTTTGAAGGAGATAAGGTTACTTTGTGGAAAAGTTGAAAATAAATAGCTTTTAAAAATAATTACGTTTTTTTTGGGTACCCCCTCGTATATATCGCCACCAGAAAATGGTTGTGACAAGGTTTTTTAATTAGAGAATTAGAGACGGATTTCCTAGGTATCATGTCTAAAAAATGCGTAGAAAAAATGGCGACTATGCAGAAAAAGATGAATTCAAATAAAAAATTCCTTGTGCCTGAACAGAATGTGGGAACCTTATTTTTGAAACAACCCTCGTATGTATGGCTCTCTAAATTGTATCTGTACTGTTGGGCAATAAATGCTTTATTACTATATTGAAAATATTGACTAGTCAACATGTCAATAGTTTCCTTATAATATTGTCTATACTACAACTATTTAAAACTGTAATGACTCATACGCGTGATCAACACGTGATCAGAGCTCGATCCCGGCTTCCTTCCAGTACAGCCGTATAGCGTACGACATATGTCGTTTCTGTGGCTTTGCGGTGGTCAACAGCACAGACAGAGATGGAAATAATGGCTGATTGTTCTCCGCCGGTAGAACCAATGAAATCAAAGACGCGCCTCGACCGGCAGACTCATAGGCGTCGGTAACGCATTGGAACGTGTTTCGTTGAGCGATCGCATATTGTGTGTTTTTATAAGAATTGTTGTGTGATTGTTATTGTTGTGGTTTCTGTGGTTACTGTTTTGGTTATACTTAACCATGGAGAGTACAAATGGCACGAGTGAAAGTACTGAAAGCCAGGGAACAAGTAGACGGTTTCGTAAAGCACTGAAGAAGGACGCGAAAGAAATCGTGCTCAACGCGTTCAATTATCTGAACAGAACTATGTCGCAGACAGATGCACTCGCGCGTTGTGAAACTATGACAGGCGTTCCAGAGTGGACCATTCGCAGGGTGGTGCATGAAAAGAAGAAAACTGGAGCTATTACTGATCCAAAGTTTAATTTGAAGGACGAAAGGCCGTTAAATTGGATGACGATAGCAAAATGGCGTTAAGGCGAACCGTACATTCATTCTTCTTTAGGAATGAGATACCAACCCTCAAGGCTGTACATGCAGCGATCAAGGAAAATGAAATTATACCCCAAATGAGCGTCGAGGTAATGAGGAAATCCCTGCACGAAATTAATTTTCGTTACGAAACGCGTAATCGGAAGTCAGTATTGATAGAGAGAGACCTGAAATAGTCGCCTGGCGTCGAAAGTACCTACGCGAAATGATTGAATATAGGCGACAAAGCAGAAAAATCTATTATTTGGACGAGACATGGGTAAATGCAGGTCACACAGTCAAAAAACCATAGACAAAAACGTAGTGAACATCGATGAGTCATTACAGTTTTAGATAGTTATAGTATAGCTATAGTCGAAATCACGAAAGATGACGATTACATCATCATTTTAGTCTGTAGTAAAGACAGACGACAGCGATTTGCGAATATATTTCATGAAGTTTCTGATATGTAAGACAGAGACAAATATAATTTTATTGTCTAAACAAACTGTATTGCTAATTTGCATCTTTCCGACAAAGATAGACGATGTTTTCATATTGCATGATCGATCATATTTGAAAGATGAATAGTTAGGTTATGTTGAAGCAGGTTATGTTGTTTTCGAATAATACTTTGGTCTTTGGTGTTCCTGTCTTAAGGTATTCTACTCATAACTGCTTTATTCAAAACAAAAACTCCCCACTAAAATTATTATTAAGGTATCACTCAAAACCATGAAATCAGTGGCGACGCGTGACTTTTCTTAAACTGTTACCAAAACCAGATGTGAAAAATCTTATTAAAAAAAGTTTATTTTGAACCTCCCAATTATAAGTTTTTGCTTATCTTAGGTATTCTATTTAAACTATTAGGTATATTCTTTAATTCATCGGTTGATTCCATCACTGATGGATCCGGTGAACTTATGGTTGACAGCTGATGTGATGACGTCAGCAACCGGTTCCGTTGAATGGTCGTTAATAAAAAGACGCATTTTTACCCTTCAGGTTGCCGTCATATGAGAAAACCTAACCTTTGTTTTATCGAAAATGGATACTGGTTAATTTGAACACCGTATCATTTAAAATCATTGTGGCAATGTACGCAGCAGTTGGTATTGTTGTGGAACGTTTATTAAGCGATTCGAGTGATGATTCGGATGAAAAAGTTATCCAGCGGAGGGAATTTGCGCTCCGAGAATCAATATAAGAACTAAAAATCAGAAAACCAAGAAATTTTCAAGTATACAGGAATAAAAACAGAACAAAATGAGAAAATCGACATTTTCGGACTTACGAGGTATTGATTTGAGATCGTCGATATGCATAATTCAAAACAAATTCACTTGCTTTCAGATACTCTGTTTATTTCGAATTGTGTTGAAAAAAAAACATTAAATTTCACGCGACTCCTATGCTGTAGAATAACTTCAATCTTCACCGGTGGCATATCCACCATCAGTATAAAGACAAGTTTGATATACAACCGGTCGTTCCAGCGAAAAAGGACGCAAAATTGGCTAACCGGTGGCACCGGTAGCTCAACCGGTGAATTAAAAAATATACCTATGTATTTTTAAATTAAGGTAAACATTCCTGGACTGAGCGTCTGGGTCATTTGATATACCTCATACTATGACTAATCCAAGCCATCCGAAAAAACAGTCGACGTTTATAGATGTTCGGAAAATTTTTGATCTTTTTTGGCAATGAATGTTAACAATTCCCTGTAATTTCCTCTATTGTCAGAGCCATCTCCTTCAAAATGAACGGTAATTACTGTTTTGCCAAAAAACATACGGTATCGAGAAGTGTGCTGCCTAAAAGCTTGGTTAAGACAACTTTCGATTCTTGTTTTGCCAAACTGAATCAAACTGGCTACACATCTCACATGTAAAGGAGAAATTTCATGTCTCTTCTTTAGAGCCGTAAAACTATTTAAATTGTTGACTACGCTGCTGGTCCTGCCATTTTTTCTGTATAAAACAGATGACATCGCCAACAATACAATGTTTTTTGCAACCACACAACCAAGAGTTTCCATATACCAACTTAATTTAAAAGATCAAACTAGGTTTTTTTATTCTTTTTTAAAATTATCTAAAATAGGTGTCTTCCATCTTCAATGATCTCCTTTTTTTTCTTAAAAATTATACAAGGAGAATGACTTAGTAGTTGATCGATTACGCAGCGACACTCATCCATGTTTAATTGCACGCACACTACAGCTGGTAACCAAAAGGGCTACTAACGATTGAGAAGTAAGTAACCAAATCAAAAAATGGTAACAAGCCCACATAATAGTCGCAGCGCCCCACGCACTCGGGCGACCGCGATCAGACACGAACCGGTACCGACGGTCCCCGACAGACTACCAAGTAGTATTCATAAAATATTTATTTTTAAGATTTTTAATTGTTACCAATGGACGCTTCGTCACTGCATGAAATAAAATGAAAATAAAAATAATCAGTGAAATAACCTAACTTCGCAAAATCATAATATAAATTTGTTGTCATTATGTTTCTGACTCGTGATTTTATCATCGATTACTCCAGTACAATTTATGGTATGACGTAACAGTCATCTTTCGTGATTTTGATTATACAGGGTGTTTCAGTTTATTGTTGCATAACTTCAAGATTCGATAGAACTTTTAAAATTAATGCATAAAGTCTATATAAACATAGGTTTAAATTTATTTTTTAAAATAGTTTTTTTTAAATATTTCAAACAATATTTGATGTATAACAGTGAAAATTGGTATACAAGAGTTTTTTGGTACGACAAAACGAACCATGGGCATAGTTTTACTGTAGCCGCTAGAGGGCGCTCTCTACTGTACCTGTAGTGCATTAAAACGACCGACAAATCTTTCTTAGTGCAATTTTTTGATTTTCGAATAAAAAAACTGATTCTTCGCACTTTTCAACATAAAAAAGCTCTCTTGTGAATTTTCGTTATAGTTAGCCGTTTTTGAGATATTTCGATTTTTAAGGTTCGATGCATTTTTAATTATTTATGATAAAATAACGTTAAAAAGTCATCTCGATAATTTTTAGAAGTAGGCTGTGAATGCAAATATTTTTGAAATTGAAATCAGAATAAGGTTAAACGTCAATTAGTTGACAGTTAGTTTTGTTGTCTGTTGAAACCTGAAACGTTTTTTTGCAATTGTGAATGCACGAAATTTAGTTTCTTTTGCCTGTTTTTTTTGTGAGTTTTATAAAAATGCCATTTTTATTCTCCAATCAAGAGTTAGCGGATATTCATTTTGTGTATGGCTTTGTAAATGGAAACGCAGCAGAAGCAGCCAGAGAATACGCACGAAGATTTCCAAACAGACGACATCCAACTCGCTCAGTATTTGTAAGAGTGCATCGCCAAATAATTGAAAATGGTTTTGGAAATCTCCAAACTGATCAAAACATAAATGTTCGTCAGCGCAGATTTACCCGTATGATTCTGAGTGAGTTTGATAGAGATCCGACCACAAGTGTTAGGAGAGTTTCTGGTGCCTGGGAATTTCAGCAAGCCATGTTCACCGTGTTCTTAGAAATGACCATAGACGTCCTTACCATTTGCAACCTGTGCAAGGACTACAGCCAGGGGACGGAGAACGAAGAATCACATTTTGTCAGTGGATTTTGTTAGAACTGATAATAATAGGGAGTTTTTAAGTAACGTTTTATGGACCGATGAGCCATGCTTCACTAGTGGAGTGGTACATTTTCATAATCAACATATTTGGTCGCATGAAAATCCGCATGCAGTTCGGGAAAGAAATTTTCAGCATGAATGTAGTGTGAACGTGTGGATTGGTATCTACCGTAATCGACTATCTGGACCCTACCTTTTGCCAGCAAGGTTAAATGCTGCGACCTTCTTGGAATTTTTCAAGGCTGATCATGCAAATATGTGGGATGCCACCTACGATCATTCGTAGATGTGAATTGTGTATTGAACAATTGGGTTTACATTTCGAGCAACTACTTTAGATTTTGTATGTTTGTCCTAACTATCCAATAGCATTTTAGTTGTAAATAATTAATTTAATTTGTTAAAAATAATATTGGAAAATTAAACAAATTAATATTCTGTTTTTTGTGTTTATTTGGAGTTAGGAATTATTGCTATGTTTAAAAACACAATCTAAACGATCATCTTATTTACTTGTAATGACCAAATCGAAAATGTAAAAAATGTAAAAAAAATATTATTTTCCCATAAATAATTAAAAATGCATCGAACCTTAAAAATCGAAATATCTCAAAAACGGCTAACTATAACGAAAACTCACAGGAGAGCTTTTTTGTGCAGGAAAGTGCGAAGAATATTTTTTTTTATTCAAAAAGCAAAAAATTGCACTAAGAAACATTTTTCGGTCATTTTAATACACTACAGGTTCAGTAGAGAGCGCCCTCTAGCGGCTACAGTAAAACTATGCCCATGGTTCGTTTTGTCGTACCAAAAAACCCTTGTATACCAATTTTCACTGTTATACATCAAATATTGTTAGAAATATTTAAAAAAAAACTATTTTAGAAAGTAAATTTAAACACCCTGTATTTCGGAAGCCACGCATTTTTCGACCCATGTTTATATAGACTTTATGCATTAATTTTTAAAGTTCCATCGAATCTTGAAGTTATGCAACAATAAACTGAAACACCCTGTACTTACCCCGTCAACGTTCTGCTTGAAATTCTCTTCAAATTCGTTGAAATCGAAGTTGATATCAATATCGCTCCTGGGTGTGCTGACGGGGGTGTCGTTCGAGATCAAGTAATCAATCAGGTAATCATCGGCCGATTCAGCAAGGCAGTTAAACTCGATATCGGAGTTCGCGGTCGCCGATGTCTCGTTGAAGGTTGAGAGTATGTCCGTTTTTGTCAGGTTCTGTGCTTCGTAGAACGCCAGGTTGAATTTTTCCATCAACTCGGACTGCGTCAGGTGGTTTATCGGATTGTACAGCTGGTCAGTCATTGTGCTGCAGGTGTGTAACATCTGAAAAAAAATACATTTTATAAGGAAAGCATACTATAAGTCAACGCCAAACAAAGTGGCGTGCACGACATCAAGGTGGGTGTGTTGAAAAATTTACATTGTTGCCAAACTTTTTGTAAAATAATAAAATTTATTATTTACATATCTAGGTTTATAAGCAATATTAACCTCAAATGAGAACAAAAATAATAGTATAATAAAATTATAGATCTGTACTTGCATAATCATTATGTATGACAATTATTGATCAGATGACACTATGAAACTACCATATTTAATTGATAGCTTAAAGGTACTGAATAAAAATCCAAATGGGGTCCTCCAAATTTTATGCATGGTATTTATTTTACAGAATTCATACAGAAAAATGCATTCTAAAATTAGGTAAGCTACTGGTGTAAGCTTTTTCTGTACAATAAAGTTAGTCGGAGTTTCTTTCTTCAGCGCTGTCTGAATCTGAATCTTCATCACTCTCAAAGTTGATTATTAAAGGTTCGATGTCTGGTCGATCAAAAATTCGTTCTCTTTCATACCATTTAAAAATTTCTTGCTCAGTATGCCGAACACTATTTTTCCACATGTCTGGGGTAACCGTTTGTAGAGCCTCGTTCCACATATCCAAACAGTCTTTTTCACTGTTACCATCTCTACCAATATGTCTGTTATAGTAACCTTTTGCTATGCCCCAAATTAACTCAATAGGGTTAAATATACAATGGTAAGGAGGCAGACGAAGAACTTTGTGCCCATGTTGTTCCGCCAATTCATCAATCACGTATATTTTAGGTGGTTTGTTTCTAAAAAAGCAGTTATTTTAAGAATAGGAATAAACAAAAGAAATATAAACTGTCGACCAAAATATATATAATTAAGAAGCATTATGTACCGAGCAACAATACTCAATAGCTCTGTTTTAAACATTTTGTTTAAAAATGGTATGTTTTGATTTGTCAACCAGTCTTGGATATTTTTTTTTGTCCATGCATTGTTGGGCACTTTGTTCAATATCATGCTGTGATAAGGGGCGTTATCCAGTATAATCATAGATGGACTCTCCAATTTTTCTAATAACTGATGTTGAAACCATTTCAAAAAATTGTCCTGGTTCATCTCTCCATGGTAATCGCTCAATTTTGTTTTCGAAGAAAATATCGCTTCACTACCCTCAATAAACCCATTTTCATTTCCAGCATGTAATATAATGTATCTGAAATATATTAGTTTTAAATTTTATAGTGCAAATTGTGTAAAAGTACATACCTTTTACCATCTGTTTTAATAGCTTTCACGCTTTTTTCGTTTCCATTTTGCCAAGAGCGACCTATGGTCCCATTTTGAAATATCCAAGTTTCATCGAGGAAGACAAACTGGTATAAGGCCTCAACCTTGGCTTGATTGTATTGCCTTAGAAATTCCACCCTTTTCAAAGCTATACTTGGTAGTTCCATGAGCCCTCGTCGCGGATTGTCCTTAAGCCACTTAAATCCAAGATCTCTAAGCAACCGCCTTAAAGACGTGGCACTACCATCAAATAATGCCCTATCTCTTAATCGAGACCATAAAGTTTGTATCGTAACTTGTTCTTCTGAAACCATGTGTAATATGACATTATAATTTAGTTAACAAATTAATGCAAATTTCTGATAAGTTATTATAATAAGATCTTACTTTTGTGATACATACTATAGATCACTTCTCGAATGGCACTTGTATCCAATGTCGCTGTGTTGGTTACACGTTTAATATAACTCCGCTTTTTCTTGGGCGATTCTAAATTTGCATCACTTTTCACACCCTCGGAAATACGACTAACTGTCCTTAAACTAATTTTTAAAGCAGCAGCAACACGCTACAAAAAATGAAATAAAATTTCACTATTATTAATATACATTACATATAATTATTAGTAACCTACCTCTTGAACAGCATTTAAAGGCAACAAAGGCCCGTTGTTGTCCCTTTCTTGCTCAAAGTAGTGCATTAACGAGGCCACGAGTTCCTTACACCGACTATTTAACTGTTTGGGCATCTTTATATACCAAAATTGCCTTTATCTACTCGTAAAATGAATAATTTTGTTTTGAAACAAACAGTTGTTGATTTACAGTATGCGGGGCCAAAGGATTTATAAAGATTTGAAATGCCACAAATTGATTCAGTGTCAAAATTAATACAAATGTCAGTTCCCAGTTTAAATAAGCATCAATGTGACAATGTGTCAACGCTGCGAAATCGGTTTAGTGCGTTTACATGTCGATAAGTGATTGGAGCGTTTGCAAAACATTTTATTTCGCATAATGCGTCTAAATTTATCAGAAAGCAACTTATGTGATATTTTAATAACAATGTTTATATGACTATTAACCATAATAAGAGAGTAATGACCATTTTACAATTTATATATCACATTAATATGAAACTGCAATAGAGCAATTGTTTGTGATAGAAACCTAGGCATTAGGTCGGGGAATTTTTATCGTGATGACGTGCACGCCACTTTGTTTGGCGTTGACTATAGTCAAGTGGTTTACGTGCAAATAAGCTTTACTTGTGGTCACTTATGAAAGATTGTGCGTGTGTCGTGTGTGGATAGAAGGACACGAGGCGTACCTCAGAGCGTCAAGATAGGCGCTTCAGACAACTACTATAGGAAGACAAGAAGGTAGACCTATTACTGTGCGTACACTATCTCGCATTCTAGCCTTTGGACTTTTTTCATACTGTTAATGCTTCCTCTGACTGCGGACCACAGTCGTCAACGTTTGAACTGGAGAGGAGAATGGCGACGTTGGGAGGCAGAATGGCATAATATCATCTTCAGCGACTGTCTAGGTACGCAAGAAGCAGGTTGTAGTGTAGTGTAGTGACCACCCCGTTCACCGGATTCAAATCCCATCGAACGATTGTGGGATATGATGGGGAGGGGACTATCCACTTTGTACCATCCGCCACAGACTCTGCCACAGCTAATCCATGAAGTTCCAGATGCTTGGAGTGGGGTTCCATAACCAGACATCGGTCACCTCAGGGTCGCCCAACACATAATTATTTTTTTTTCTTATTGCTCGTCAATAAAGTTTAGAGAGAATGTTATCGTTTCATTCTTGATGTAAGACTACCGTATTGCCAAAAATTAAGTTGAGGTATTTTTTTTCTGGATGTAGCATTTCTAATGTCACCGAGTATATATATATATATACTGTCCATCGTACAAATATTATCAGGAACAACAAAACTTAAGGATACTTTTTTAAAATTCAAGTTCATCTTTTACTACTCCTATCTCTAAAGAAGACCTAAAAATGTCAGTAAATAAATACATTAATGATTTCCAAATTCCAAGTATTGCAACAAATATAGCACAAAACGTCGATGAACTTAATTTATGTACACAAAATTCTGATGCAAAATTTCGAATTTTTAATATGAACATAAGGAGTATAAAACACAACATTGATTACTTAAAAATACTACTCGACCAAATATGGTACAATTTTGATCTAATAGTTTTAAATGAAACGTGGCAAGTGGCTGATATTTCTTGCTTCAATCAGCAGGGATATGACACGCTGTATAACTTTGGCACTTATAACCAAAACGATGGGGTGATAGTTTTTGTAAGAAATAAACTGCAATATAATCATGATACATTCACTTTCACCGATGGAATCAAAATTTTAAACATAATGATCCAAATTAACCATAACAAAATTGAGGTATCTGCAATTTATCGTCCGCCATGTTCAGAACACCACGAGTTTTTAAAGAATATCGAATTTTTTTTTCAAAAAATAAAGTTCATTTAAAGCAACATATTTTCTTGGGAGATATATATATATATATATATATATAATATAAATATTTTGGACGATGATCCCATCACAAATGAATACTTGAATATCCTATCAAGTAACGGATTTCTGTCTTATATAAACCTACCTACAAGGTCCATCAGTGGCACATGTATCACTGCTTTGTGAAAGACCTATCCAACAAAATTACTTGTATACCAATAATCCTAGAAAGCGATATTACTGACCACTTCTCCACTATTTTACTGATATCTTCAAATGAAAAACATTCTAACATCCCTACCGTTAGTAACAACCAGGAAAATTACAAATTTTTTGTCGACAATTCAAAACTAATATCAAATGTCAAACAAGAATCCTGGGAACAATTATACTCTATAAATAATATAGACAAAGCAACGGGACTGTTCATAGAGAAAATAAAAAAACTAATAGATATTAGTACCAATAAAGTAATAATTAGTCACAAAGAGAAAAGCAGAAATGCCTGGATTACCAAAGGATTAATAACATCGGCAATAGAAAAAGAAAGACTATATAATGTAATGAAACTAACGCCAACTACAGAGAATACCGACTGCTACAACCAATATAAAAATAAATTTATAGAGCTTGTAAGGCAAACCAAACGAAAACATTACCTAAATAAATTGAATAATAACTTAAGTGATCCTAAGCGGCTTCGGACAACTATTGATGAGATTACTGGGAAAACAAAAGTTAAAGAGTGTGTCACTGAGTTAAATACAACATCGGGAACAGTATTAAAAAATACTCAACAGATATGCGATGAATTTGTACAATTCTTTACTGACATAGGCGAAAATTTAGCAAGTAATATACGCTGTACAAGCAAATGTACAAAATACTCAGCCTCCAAAAAGAACTTTGAACTCATTTATTTTGGATAAAGTCGAGCAATGTGAAGTATACACCACTGTTATGTCCTTAAAAAATCGGAAAAGTCCTGGGTTCGATGGTATTAAAAGCGAGCACTTGAAAATTATAGCTGAGGACATAACAGAACCACTCACTTACCTAATCAACAAATGCTTTGAATCTGGCATATATAATTTTAAAAAAAGGTAATATAATACCGATACATAAATCAGGAACAAAAACAGATGTTAACAACTATAGACCAATATCAATAATATCCAGTGTAGCAAAGGTTTTTGAAAAAGTTTT